CAGGTGAGCCTGTGTCACGTTCCCGGCGGGACAGTGGGAAACGGGGAGTTTTGGGGTGGCTCTGAATCCCCTTCTCTCCGCAGGCCGCTGCCGTGCCCTTGGGATGAGCCGCCTGCCGCGCCGCGCGGTGCTGGCACTCATGGGGCTGCTGTTCGCCAGGACCATGGCCTGGACATCCAGCGGGAAGACACACGCGGAGCTGGTCAACAACCTCTACAGTGAGTCCCAGCAGGATCCGCTGGAATGCCACTACACGGATATTTAATGCCAGTGTATGGATGTTTAGTGTGTCACTGTTCGCTCTGAAGGGCTGGGGTTGATATTCCTGAATTCCGCCTTTGTCCCAGCCTGAACTCGTTCTATTTATAACCAGAGAACAAGGTGTTGTGCCAGAAGGGGCAGGAAAGCCTCTGCACGCCTTCCTTCCCTGCCTCTGGAAGTGTGTGACGCCCTTTAAGGAGTTGCAGCTCGGAGCCTGCGGGTTCTGCCGAGTGTCCTGGACACCCAGGACCCACCTTTTCGGAGGGCAGTGTGACTCCATTTCTCCCCCATTACACTTGGCAGTGCCAGAAATGTGGATGCAGGTCACCACCACCCTCTGGGGATGGGCTGCTGGCTGGGACCGTAGTGGAAATGGGACAGGATGTCCTTTCATTGGCGTTTGTTTTCTGTTCCTCTCACATCTCTCGTTAAGGCTGAACTCCCCCAGATCCCTGTACTCCCTGAACTGTGCTTCCCCTTCCAGATCTCTTCTTGCTGGAGTGCTGAGGGTTTCAGTCCTGCCTATCTCTCTTCCTTCCTTCCCAGAAAAAGGAATTGTTAAGTCCCAGCGAGTCTTCGATGTGCTGTTGGCCACGGACAGAGGTCACTACATCAAGTATTACCCATACATGGATTCTCCTCAATCCATTGGTGAGTCATTTGGGGAAAAGCTCTAGCTATGGAGTCCCCATCCCTGGAAGTGTCCAAGGCCAGGTTGGAGGGGGCTTGGACATCCTGAGCTAGTGGAAGGTGTGTCTGCCCATGGCAGGGGGTGGAATGAGATGAGCTTTAAGGTCCCTTCCAACCCAAACCATCCTGGGATTCTGTGAAATTCTGTTTTTAGGGCAAGGTGTGGGAGAATTAAGGACTGTTCCCGTGGGTAATTTTATTCTTTATCAAATAACTTTGTCACCTGATTCCTTTTAGGCTACAAGGCCACGATCAGCGCCCCACACATGGTAAGATGAAAACTCTTCACTTCAAACAGAAATAGAGGGAATTGTTTATTTCTCTTATTATATTTCATTTTTTTTCAAGTACAGAAGTTGAACATCCCATGCACACGATTATCCTGCTAGTTTCTTTAGGGATTTTTTTTGTTTTTAAGAGGAGTTTCCCTTGTAATCTTTCAGTTGCTTTAGAAGTGCACTCAGATGGGAATTCTGTGTTGTGCATTTTTTTCCCTGCTGTTTCACATGTAATTCCTGAGCCTCTTCCTAAGTGTGCTCTTGCCAAAAGACCTTCCAGGTCTGACCCTTGAGTTTCGCTCTGGAAGCGTCAGGCACAAGGCCCAGTGTGCTGGGATTAAATCGGAGAACAAGGAAAAGTGGTAGCAGAGGAGACTAACCCGGGATGCTTCCCACCTCCATGTCCACACAGCATGCCCATGCCCTGGAACTGCTCAAGGATCAGCTGGTGGAAGGTGCCAAGGCGCTGGACGTGGGATCTGGAAGCGGATACCTCACCGCGTGCTTCGCCAGGATGGTGAGCTCACAGCACCCCATTCCCAGCTCGGACAGCAGGAATGTGCTTTCGATGGGGAGAGCAGGAGGTGGGAGGAAGGGGACACTCTTCCCAGACCAGCCTGTAGCGAAAAAAAAATACTTTTTAGGGATCTAAATGGAGGCTGTATCTGCCCTGAGATATTTTGTGTGTATATCCACAGTGCAAATCCATTGTGGGTTCCTTTTAGTTTATGTCTTCATTACAGTCTGTTTCCTTGTTTTCTAAACTCCTGGAATTATTTGCTGTGAAGTGTTAGAAAGCTGGTCAAGTTACTCAGGAGGGTAATTAGTCAAGAACTTGCCATGGAAGCTGCTAATTCTACCAAATAATGATTTCTCTGGCAATGAAAGATTACTGGGAATCCTTGGAGACTTGGCAGTTAAGGACTACTGGGAATCCCCATGGACAGTGTCTGTGTATCCCTTAAGCAGCTGAGAGACTACTCAGCCTTCAAATCAAGAGTGTTTGCACCTCCTGTTCAGAAACTCTGCTCTGGAGCTTATTCCAGCTCTCCCAATTCCCACCAAAACCTGCTCCATCAAACACCTCTCTTTGATATGGGAGGTGCCAGGTGTTGGACTGATGTTGCTCTTTCCAGACTGGCCCGACAGGGAAAGCTGTGGGAGTGGAGCACATCAAGGAGCTGGTGCACGAATCCATCCGGAATGTCCAAGAAGACGATCCAACGCTGCTCAGCTCCGGCCGTGTGAAGCTCGTGGGTGAGTTCTGTGCAATCCCGGGGTTGTCCTCTCTGGGAACGCCTCAGCTCTGCTCCCTGAAGTCGTTCCAGTCTGTGTCGGTGCTCTGAGTTGCTAGGAGAACAAATCTTCCCTGTGTGTTTTCCCCACTGCAGTTGGAGACGGCAGGCAGGGATACCCCGAGGAGGCTCCGTACGATGCAATCCACGTTGGAGCGGCCGCAGCGACCGTCCCCAAGGAGGTGAGAGTGGCCCTACTGGGTGTCTCTACCTCTTTTATTTTTTTTTTGTGAGAACACTAATTAGGGGCCCACTAGAAGCTTCTTTTTTGTCGTGACCTTTCCGGCGTGGCTTATTCCCAGCGTCTCTCTATTTTTTGAGCTCTGCTCGTCGCCAAAAACGTTGGGATAAATCAAACTCTCTGACACTATTTTCAGTATTAGGAAGGAGGCATTATTTTATTCACAGCACTGAGTGCATGGGGATACTCCACCTAAATGCACACCCACTTTTCACTACTTAAACATTTTAGCAAACAAATTACTGTTCTTGGGCTATAAGTTATGTAATTCTCTTCATTAATTACTATTCTATCTTCTATTGATTTCTCGCTTCTCACGCTAATTATTCCACATTTTCAGTCTTTTTCTTATCTTTTAGGGTAGAGAAGGTTTCAGTACAATTGCTGAATTGTCTTTGTTAGTTTCTTCTTCATCTCAGGGTTCTGCAAAATGTCCTTGTGGTGCATAAATTCAGCATTCCCTGTGTCCAGTTTCAGCAGTATATCCAATATTACTCTCCCCCAGGCTTTGCCCATTGAAGCACATCAAGGTTGGTTACAGCTGTTCTAGCACAGCTTAAAGCTCTAGTTGTTTTCCCAAGCCACATTCCCACAAGAGCAGCCTGTGAGCAGCCTCGCTAAATGCCGGCTGCAGAGGCAATTATGACTAATTAAAACAATTAGAGAAGTCCTTAGGAAGGTTGTGTCATTTTGAACGTGCTGACTCGGGTTCCTGTGTTTTCCCAGCTGCTGAACGAGCTGAAGCCGGGCGGGAGGCTGATCCTGCCCGTGGGGCCCGAGGAAGCGAACCAGGTGCTGATGCAGTATGACAAAACCAGCGATGGGCGCATCGTGGAGACCCAGCTTATGGGCGTCATCTATGTCCCTCTGACTGACAAGGAAAAGCAGTGGCCTCGGTAAAGATCTGCTCTTCCCTGAGGAACGTTCCTTCTTCATCTGTCCCTCTGCTTGCTCTTCCTCGGCTTTGCTGACCGAGTCCTGGATCCCTGGCAGATGTAAAAAAAAAAAACAAAGAGAAGGAAACAGCTTGGCAGAGCAGGAGAACAAGGGGGTGTTTCCCCTTGGATAGGGCTTACCAAATTTATTTCCTCATTTACTGGAGCGTGTGTGTGTTTGTAAACCCAGTGTGATGCCGTCGTGGAGCTGATGAGGGCCACGAGTAGTAACTGTTGGTTTTTCTTTGCCTCAGGGATGAACTCTGACACACGGATGGATATCCCTAAAGGCCCCTCAGAAAGCTCATGAGTGGGACTTAGGCCTGTAGATGGTCGGTATGGTTTTGCTTTTTAACGGAAATTTTATCCATGGATGAAGGGAAGTTCTGCTTCAGCAGAGCTCATTCTGGAGGGATGGAGAACGAGGGCAGGACCAGAGGAGGCTCTTGGAGGCCGCAGCAGCTTCCAGGGAGCGGATCCGGGTAACTCCAGCTACCCTCTCCAATAAACTATAGATAACATCAGAGAATTCCAAAAGCAGACAGGAGTACTTAAACCTTCACTAAAACAACTTTAATATCGACTACTCTGCTTAACGCTTGGTGAAAAGAAGTCACAATTAGTGTCTCAGAGCAGTGAGACTGATTTGTGTGTTTTTAATTATGGGAATTCTGGGCAGCAACACTGAATTTTGGGGTTAAGGAAAAAATTCTCATTTCTTTTGATTTTTTTTCTGTTTGGGGTTATGAAAAATGCTAATTACTTGTGGGTTTGGGGCTTTTTTTCTGTTCAGGGCTAAGAAAAGTGCTAATTTCCTGGCCTTTTTTTTTTTTTTTTTTTCCCTGTTTGGGGTTATGAAAAATTCCGGTCTTAAGAAAAAAAGCGCAATTCTTGGCTTTTCCGTGTCTGGGGTTATGAAAAATGCTCATTTTTCGGCTTTTCCCTGCCGTGCCCCTCCCGCTGGCAGTGACCGCGAAGGCTCACGAGGGGCCGGCGGACTGCGGTGAGGCTCGGGGCTCACTAGTGGGACAGTTCCGAGGAGGAGACTGCTTTGAGGTAAATAAAGGCGGTAAATAAAAGTAAATGACGGCGCTGCCGCTCCCGCCCTGTCCCGCGCCCTCCTGAGGCGATTGGGGAAGGGGGGGGACGGGGGAGGAGCGGCAAAAGGGCGGGAAAGGGGCAGGCCCTGCTGGGGGCGTGGCCTCGCGGCGATGCGCCGCTCCGATTGGCCGCTCCGCGGCGCGCGCAGTGATGCGTGCTGGCCTGCGCCGCGCGCTGCGTGCCACGTGGGTGCGCGGGGCCCGTCCGCCCCCCAGCCCGCCCCGCGGGGCCATGGCCGAGCCGGGACCGGGGCCCGGTGGGGCCCGGGACGAGGAGCCGGGCAAGGAGGGAGCGGCGCCGGCCGCCAAGAAGCGGCGGCTGGCGGGCGGCGAGCGGTACGTGCCGCCGCCACGGAAGCTGAGTACCGGCGTGAGCTTCGGCGCCGAGCACTTCGCCGAGACCTCGTACTACTTCGAGGGCGGGCTGCGCAAGGTGCGCCCCTACTACTTCGACTTCCGCACCTACTGCAAGGGCCGCTGGGTCGGGCGCAGCCTCCTGCACGTCTTCGACACCGAGTTCCGCGCGCAGCCCCTCGACTTCTACCGCGCCGCCGCCCGGGCCGGCCGCCTGCGCCTCAACGAGGAGCCCGTCCGTGACCTGCACGTCGTGCTCAAGGTACGCGACCCCCGGGCCCCGCGGTCAGATAGCCCCGGGGAAGGGTTGGACGGGACCGTCGGCGCTCCCGGGGAATCCCTGCCCCTGCGGGGTTGGGGGTGCGTGGGTCCTCCAGCTCCTGGTGTGCCCAACAGGTTCCCGCTCAGCCCCTGGGAATGGGAATATATGCTACGGGATTCATGCGGGGACACGCTCTGTTATTATCCAAATCCAGGGGGCCAGGAGGGAAGGGCTTTGATTCCCCCCCCCCCCATCCCCCAAACACACAATATCAAGCCCCGGGGGGAAGGGGGGGTGTCCACAGGCTGGATCCCGGCTGACCGCCCGTATTCCCCGCAGAACAACGACTTCCTGAGGAACACGGTGCACCGGCACGAGCCGCCGGTCACCGCCCAGCCCCTCCGCATCCTGGCGGAGGACGAGGAGGTGGTGGTGGTGGACAAGCCCTCCTCGCTGCCCGTGCACCCCTGCGGCAGGTTCCGGCACAACACCGTCATCTTCATCCTGGGCAAGGAGCACGGGCTGACGGAGCTGCACACCCTGCACCGCCTGGACCGCATGACCTCGGGTGTCCTCATGTTCGCCAAGACCGCGGCCGCGTCCAAGAGGATCGACGAGCAGGTCCGGGAGAGGCAGGTCAGAGAGCAGCGGGGCCGGGAGTCGTTTGTACCGTGTTCTCCTGCAGCAGGTTTGGCCAAAAATCAGTCGGATTTGGGGTCTGAACAAGCACGAGTTCCCTGAACAGCTTATGGTCGAGTTGTTGTTCTTAACCTCTTGGTGCTTCTCGTCCTTTAGCAGGATAAAGACAGAGCGAAAATTTAATTGAGCTTGATAGTATTGGCTTGGAAGGGATTTCCTCAAAATTTAATTGAGCTTGATAGTATTGGCTTGGAAGGGATCTCCTCAAAATCTAACTGGTTTTGGTAGTATTGGCTTGGAAGGGATGTCTTCAAAACTTAGTTGATTTTGGTAGTAGTGGGTTGAAAATATTAAGTTGAAAACCCTAAACATTTTAACTGATTTTGGTAATGCTCTATTGAAAGGGATCTCCTGAAAATTTAAATGAATTTGGTAATTTCAGATTGAAAATACTAGATTGAAAACCCTAAAAACTGAACTGATTTTGGTAGTATCAGATTAGAAGGGATCTCCTAAAAAATTTAATTGGATTCGGTAATATTAAATTGAAAAGGATCTCCTGAAACTTTAATTGAATTTGGGAATTTAATTGAATTTAGTAATAGTGAAGAGGTCTCCTGAAAATTCAGTTGATTCTGGTAATATTGCATTGGAAGGGATCTCCTTGAAGTTTAATTGATTTTGATTATATTAGATCGAAACATTTGGTAATATTAATGGCAAGTATTAGATTGAAACCCCTAACCATTTCACTGATTTTGGGAATATTAGACTGGGAGGGACCTCCTTCCCTAAGGGACTGTCCCAAGGGACTGTACAGACTGACTGGGATCATGCAAGCCAGTTAGAGAGCAGGTTTGTTTGTGTGTGGACGCAGATCAATCATCCAGTCTTTCAGTTTTCGAATTCCCATTTTTCCAGAGTCTCTTGACCCAGACAAAACTCTTTCAAGGACTGGCTATAGGGCTGTAAACCAAAGGTTGCAGAGAGGTGGCTCCTGGATATAATATGAGGAAAAAAAGCCAGACCCTTTCTCCAGCTAACTGGGGAAAGTGTAAAGGGAATTTGGCTTTGAATAGCTCATTTAATTTTTTTTCCCCTTCCCTATTGTAATGAAATGTTTCCTGTGGATGTATTTCATGGAAGGGAAAGGGGAGGAGGAGTGAGGATGGGGCCTGGGTGTATTTTCTGCTATGTTTCCTGAACCTTCCTCTTTTTGTCTCCTGGTAGCTGGAGAAGGAATACGTCTGCCGAGTGGTGGGGGAGTTCCCAGAGCACGAGGTGGTGTGTGAGGAGCCCATCCTGGTCGTCTCCTACAAAGTGGGAGTGTGCCGCGTGGATCCCAAAGGGAAACCCTGCAAAACCATCTTCCAGAGGCTCAGCTACAACGGGAGGACCAGCGTGGTCAAGTGTCTGCCCCACACGGGCCGCACGCACCAGATCCGGGTGCACCTCCAGTATCTGGGGCACCCCATTGTCAACGATCCCATCTATAACATGGAAGCGTGGGGCCCTGACAGGGGGAAGGGCGGGAAGATCGGAAAAACGGATGAGGAACTCCTGAAGGCGCTGGTGGAGGAGCATCGTTCCAAGCAGAGCCTGGAGATCTTGGGTATTTCGGAGGAGGACTTGAACTCTGGTGGTGAAAGCAAAGACTGTGGGGATTCAGGTGACTGCACTAAGTCTGCAGAGGCTGATCCTGTAAATGGGAATTCCTGCCCTGCTGAGGATGCGAAGGATCCTGAGAGGGATGCAAAGGATCCTCAGAAGGACGAGAAGGATCCTGAGAGGAATGACATAGCAGCTTGTCCACCGAACCCTGATACCAACCTGGAAATGCTTGAGAAAGACAAAGAGCTCGGCTCATGTGGGAATCAGGATGGGCAAACGGGACAGAAAGGTTGGGAAGAGAAGGACCCTTTATGTGTGGAGTGTAGGATGAGCAGGCGGGACCCTTCTCCCAAGGAGCTGGTGATGTTCCTGCACGCCCTGCGCTACAAGGGAGCAGGGTTTGAGTATTGCTCCAGCATGCCCGAGTGGGCAATGGATGACTGGGAGGAATGACCAGGGATATCCGACACCTGTGGACACTGCTGGCTGGGAAAGCAGCTCAGGAAGACCAAAGATTGACTTTTCAGTGATGTGAACAAACTGCCTGGAGCTGGGGTGGGAAGGATCATTCTGTCCTGACTTCCGACACTGTGGAAAATGAGCAGGGAAATAGGGTTTATGTGAGGTTTATGTTGCCCCTTAGTGAACTGGTACTTGAGGGCAACAAAGACCAAACTCTGCTGGTCACAGGCAGCTTTGCCTTCGTCTCGATGGATTCTGGATCAATTATCCACATGGATAATGAAGTGCATGCACTAAAAGTCAATAACTGGTTTGCCTGCCGGGTTCCTTTGTCTTAAAATATGAGCCGCTGGATGTCATATCATAAAACTCCCTATTTTTACGGTGTTTTATTGTCAGATTGATTTTAAAACTCAAATATTATCACTGAGAGCGCTGTGAGGTAAAACCAGAGCACTGTGATCCCAACTTGTTTTGTGCCTGCTGTTTGTCAGCAAGGTCAACTTGCCTTTAAAATTCATCTGCCAATATTCATTCAAATAATTATTTAATTTATAAAGTTTAGTTGTTCTGGTTGCTGATGTCTTGATATTGGGCCTGGTTTTGGAGGTATTGGTCCCCAGATTTTGTCTTTAAGGTATTATTGCTTAATATCACTTCAGTGTGACAATCACTTTTCAAGATACACAAAAGCTGCTCTATGAACCAGAATACTTATTAAAAATAATTCTATATGAATATATTCCCAAAATGATAAATACCACTATAGCTCTTATTTTCACTAGTGTTTACACAGTCGATTCTTGGCCTCTGGGAGGCTTGTTATAATAATTTAGGGGACCTCAGGTATTTTTCCCTTAGAAATGAAAACTTTCCTTCTAAAGTCACTTGATGTCACCAGGATCAGGATGTGGGTACCAAGCCAGAATAATCCAGTGCTTACTTCCAGTAGCTCAAAGGAGCCACGTGATTTCTTTCTCCGCTGGATCATCCAGCTGATGTGTTGAATATTTCCATAAAAATTCACTCGGGTTTGAGCTTTGTTCTTTCACATTCTACTTTAATCACAGATATTTGGAGAGATGATGGTAAAAATCAGTGTTCTTTAAATTTTTCATGCGTTGAAATACACATTTCATGGAACTAAATGAAACTTGGGCACCTTCAGTCTATAAAAAAGGGTGGCTGCTGCTGTTACTGGATTTGGATGCAGGAGTAAGGGGAAAGATTTAGGGACAGCAGTTAAATTACTCTTTGAGGTGTCCCAAGTTACAGTGGGAGGTGTTTAGTAAGAAATTTTTGCAAGAAATAAGCCCTTGAAAGGAATTTTCCTGATTTGGGCTGGTAGATGGAGGCTGGGGCCAAAGGGCCTTATGAGGAACTGGAGCTCAGTTCTGCCTTTTCCCTTTTTCCTGGAATAATTGCTGCCCTTTGGCATCTTTTTATTCCTGGTCAAGAAAACCCTGGGCTTCTGTTTGTAAGATACTTTGAACAAGGCAGATTTAGGCTTGATTTCGCAAGGATCCTACCACCAGCTGCATTGTATTTAATTTTATTTAAAATTAAAACAGTGTTCGCTTTTTTGTTAGCAGGGAAGATGTCACTCTTGGAGATGTCCTGTGATAAATTCCCTTATCAGGTGGGATCTGAGGTAAATACTGGGTCCTGCTTTTGGGCAGAAACTTTTCTGTACAAAATGTAGGTCCTAGAAGAATTCAGTTCCCTCGTACAGCTTTATTTGGATACACCTTGGCAGTGCTGGGTGAAGGGTTGGACTTGATCTTAAAGGTCTTTTCCATCTTAAATGATTCTATAATCCTGTCTTTACACTTCATTCTAGCTGTGTCCCCTAAATCCCTCAGGACACTCCTGGCTGTGTCCCTGAATCCCTCAGGATGCTCCATTCTGGCTGTCCTGGGCGGCATCTCTGCTTCCCCTTCTCCCTGAGGGGAGAGGCGGGAATTCCGCATATCTGAGGGAACGTGGTTGTAGCAGGAATGGGGGGCAAAAAAAAATATATTTAGGGAGAAAAGTTACTTGTCGACGAGGATGGGATTCGAACCCACGCGTGCAGAGCACAATGGATTAGCAGTCCATCGCCTTAACCACTCGGCCACCTCGTCATGGCAGCCTTCCCCTCGCCCGGCCTATAAGGAAGCGCGCCCACCGCCCCCGCCATCTTATCTCTCACGCCGCTTTCCCCCGCGCGGCACCGGCGGCCGCGCGAAACCGGCGCGGCCGCAGCGCGGAGCGAGGCCGCCCCACGAGGACCGGGCACTCCGCGCAGCCCGTGCGGCACCGCGCCGCCCTCGTCACCGCGGCTGCGGGCGAGCGGGCAAGCGGGCGGCGGCGAAATGGCAGCAGTGGGGGCGATCCGCGGAGGCCGCCATGTTGTACGGTAAAAGGGGGCCGCCATGTTTGTACGGCGGCGCGGACGTGTCGTCACGGCGCGGGGAGGGCGGTTGGATTTGAACGGGGCGGCGGCGACCAGGAGCGGGAAGAGGGATCGGGATCGGGAACGGGAACCGGGGAGCCCCGCCGCGCCCCCGGCGCGAGGTGGGAGCGGCCGAGGGGCCCGGCGAGGGGAGGAGGGGAGCGCGGGAGCGGCGGCGGCCATTGCCCGTGTCCGGGGCGGATCCTGCGGGGAGCGAGCGCGGGAGAAAGGCGGGAGGAGAAGGTCGGTGCAGCGCCGGGAGCGACTGGATGGAGGGAGGGCTGAGGCGGGTGTGTGGGGGGTATAACCCCCCCCGATAAACGCGGTGTGGATCGATGCGATCAATTCACGGCTGGGGAACGTATCAAAGAGGTGTAATTAATGATATGAGTGATTAATAAGCGCCTGGGCTGTGGCCCGGGGGACCGTGAGGGAAACGGCCCGGGAGAAAAAAAAAAAAAGACGGAAAAAGGCCGAGGAGGGCCGGGATGGGCGGCGGAGAATGGACTGGAAGGACTGTGGAGAGATTCTTGTGTTCGCGGTTAGGAGAATAAAGAGGGAAATGGTCGTTTATCAACAAAGTAACCTCCCAGCTCGGCGCCGTGGGCTCGTCTCTCAGGGGGTGCAGATAACTTCCAGGAAGAATTAGGGAAGAGCGGCTGAGGAGGGTGGCTGGAATGTGAATTCCACGTTAACAGCCCCAGAGACAGAGTGATCGGGGGTTTTACAGCCACACGCTGCGCTCCCCCAGCACCTGCATGGCCGGTCGCGTCCCCTGTCCCTTCTCTGTGTGCTCAGCCTGACCCAGGATGGCTGGATTTACACCCAAAACCTTTGGGACACGGGCCCAAAGGTGCTTTTGGATTTGGAGCCCCAGAGCTGCCGGCCCTGGAAGCCAAGGGCCCCTCAGGCTGCTTTGGGCTGGGACCAGCATGAACCTGCTGGTCTTGGTGAGAGGAATTAATGGTTTTAAACTGCAAGAAGGGACACTGAGGTTGAATACTGGGAAGGAATCCTTCTCTGGGAGGGTGGTGGGGCCCTGGCATAGGTTGCCCAGACAAGCCCAGACTGCCCCTGGATCCCTGGAAGTGTCCAAGGCCAGGTTGGACAGGGCTTGGAGCAATCTGGGCTAGTGGAAGGTGTCCCTGCCTGTGACAGGGAGTTGGAATGAGATGGGCTTTTAGGTCCCTTGCAACCCAAACCCTTCCAGGATTCCATGAAGTACCCTGCAAAAATGAAACAAGAAAACCATAAGGTTCATTCCATCAGATCAACCTCTGTGTACAAGTGCAGTGTCACTCTGTAAAGCTTTTCTGGTTCTCTTTCTTTTTTTATACCTTCACATGTAATGGTGTTCTCAAAATAGAGCTTTTTTCTGTTTAGGCAAAGAGAAATTTATTGAGGAAAAATACCTACTGGCTAAGTGTTGCCTGAAAACTGTGCTGCCTAAAAATTGTGTTTGAGCAAAACAGAGTGTTACTTTTCCCTTCCACTGTAACTCAAGCCAAATATATCATATATGACACCATATCATGCTATAGAATTAATATAATACCATATAATAATTCAAAGTAATACCCCAATAATAAATTCCCAATAGCATTTCGTGTGATTTAGCATTCTGAACTTTCTTTTTCCTACCCAAGGCTTAGTTTTAGCTTGGAAAATCAGGGTAGGCTTGTGATTTCCATCAGCTACGCTGAGGTAACTGCACTGGTGGACAGGGAGAGCAGTGGATGTTGCTCATCAGAGGGAAGTTATCCATGTTCCTGAATTCCTGATGGTTTAAAGAAGATGGAGCCAGGCTCTTCTGGTTGCATCTAGAGAAGGAACAAGAAGCAACAAGCTGAAATACTGTAAATTCACCTTCTAGGGTGAGGAAAGTATTGATTGAAAAAAGCCCTGTGTGTCAGAGCAAACTTTTTGTCTTGGATAAGGTTTGATCACATTTATCTCCAGCAGTTACCAGAACCTTAACTTTAAATAAGAGCCTGCCTAATCAGTAATGCTTAAACTGTTAGCACAGTTTACTGTTAGTACAATAGATGTATAATATGGATATAACATGGAATTGAGAGGAAATTTCTGTAAACAGAGCAAAATGGAGAGAAAAAAATACAGCATCAAAAGCTAGTATCTTAGTTGTGTGATTATGCTGTTTTCCTGCTGAGGTTCATTAATGTTTTTGGATTCTGGTTCTGTATTTTGCAGGGAAAGCACATCCTTCAGCGATGGACAAGATTTACACAGACCCAAACATAGAAAAGTGAGTTGAAACCTTCTAAGGAATTTTATAGTGGTGTAAATATTGTCCTTTAAAGGCAAAGCTTTTCTTAATGCACTCCAGCATCCCCTGAATGGAATGTGTTTTGTACTGTGAAGAACAACAGGGAGTTTCTCTGGTGGTGTTTGGGAAGCTCTGAGGGGATTTTGTGGTGATGGATGGTCTGGAGATGCACTGACCGTGGGGCTGGGAGGTCAGTCTGAGTTTTCCAAAGCTTATTTCATTGGGAAGTGGCACTGACATGACCAATCTGCTCCAAGCAGGTTGTTTGTTTGATTTCACACTCATAAAAATTACCAGAGAAATCAGTTTATTAACCTCGAAACCAGGGCAGGGCTGTTCAGGAAACACACCTTGGAGCGATTTCATATCCTGATACCTGTTTCCCTTTCTCCCCTCCAGTGAAAACACGGAGCACATCAGAGGGAAGCGACTGTCCTCTGTGAGTAACTTACAGCGTTCCTCAAAATAAAACTCTGGGAGGGAGGGAAGGAGGGAAGGGAAGCTTGGAGAGGAATTTTTTTTTTTTTCCTCACTGGAGTTGAAGAAAAACAGTCCAAAAGAACCTGTTGGATTGAGAGGCACTGCCAGCTCCTAGAAACTCTCTCTCCATCCAAGAAATGAGCTCTTCGACTTGGAGCCGCTCTTCTCAACTGTTCTACTCTCTTTCAGATTTTAAAGGCTCCGCGAAATCCTTTGGATGATCTGGGAAATGGGAACGAACTGACCCAGGTAGGTTCTATCGGGTCCTTTCTTCCCGATGGTCCTCGACGTGGTGCTGATTAAACTGTGTCCCTGGAGTACTGCAGGTGGTTTTTAGTGCACCATTTTTAATAACAGCACCCTATTTTTGTTTGGGTCTGTGTCTCACGGGAAGCTGTGCTCGTGGACATCTGAGTGTTGTGTTCTTTCTTGGCAGGATATTAACACAGAGAAACGAAGGAAGAGCTCGCGCCGGGTCAGCTTTGCCAACACCATCAAGTAAGTGTGAGCTGAAGGATGCAGGTCCGCAGCCTTTGAGCATAAAATGCAGGCAATAATCTCTATTCCCCTAATATTGCCCTCACTGAATAGTCACAAGCTGACTGCAAGCAGCAAGAAGTTGGTTTTTATATTATACATATTTATATTTATTTATATTTTTATATTGAGTTGGTTTGAACCCTGACGAGCCATTATTCCCTTTTTCTTCCCAGCTGGGAAAAAAAAAAAAAAACAAAACACAAAAGCAACAGTTCAGTGAGTTTAAAACAATTAGGAATTTTTCTTTCCCGTTCAGTCTTTAGTGGTTTCCATCTTAAATATCACAATGGCATCATATAATATCATCTCCCTGTAAAACATGCTTGGTTTCAGTACACTTCTGGCTTTTGATGTCTCATTTCAGAAGACATAGAAAAAAATGAAATTATGGCTGATTTTTTTTAATTTGCTTTGAAAGAGATGTTTTTGTTTTCTAAGAAACTTGTTGTGTTTTTTTTCTTAGCTGCAGAGTCTTCCAGCGAGATCTTAAGAACAGCATATCAGAGAGAGAAAATATAGGTAAAACTCCTTTTTCTTCTTCTGAAAGGATTCCCAGACTATTAACAACAAGAGTTTAGCTTGGAATTAAGAGGTCAGGCCTGTCAGTCTGGAGAAAGGAACAACATGGTCAGATCTTTGTCCTGTGCTGGCTGAAAACCCCTTGGTCACAGAGTTTTTGTCACAAGAAGACACATGAAGAGTAAGAACTTCAGAGCAGTTTCTGTGCAGTTCACTCTTAGTGTTTTTTAGAATCAGAATCGTGTAGATTAGAGAAGACCTTTGAGATAAATAAAGTCCAACCATGATCATGCTTCTCACGTTGTAATTTTGTCATTTGTTTGTTATTTTTAGAGTATGAAGCAGATAAGGATGATGTCTTTAATAAGCAGTAAGTATCATGTTGGATGGATATTTATTGTAATTTGGTATTTGTTACCAAACTTTTTCCCTCAGAGGCAGAGAGTGTTAGTCTGGCCTCAAAGTTCTTGTAGGTAAAACACAGTGATGGGATTTTTAAAATTAAAGTGACCTGGTGGTAAAATAACAGATTTAGTCATTTTGTATGTGTGAGGGGGAATTTCATAGAATCATAGATTCTATGTCAAAGAAAGAATTTATCTTTCTTACTTGTCACCGAGGAATTGAAATGCCCCTGGCCTGTGGAACGCTAAGATGAGATAATTTCATGGGGAAATTAAGATTGTGACTCAAATTAGAATACATTGAAGACAAATAAGTAGTGTCTGGTGTCTGCTGCCCAGTCCCACGTGGCATCTGCCACGGAGTTCTGTGTTCTCTGTCTGTTCAGTTTATTGCTCAAGGCTTCTCTTTGGAAACCTTTTAACAAGCTCTTTATCCAACCTGACTTTTGTAGGAATAAGGAAACCGAAGCTGTGTCGTGTGAGATCACTGGTGAGTTGGGAAATAAAATTAATAACAAAATTACTATCTTTAGTAATTTGATTGTGTTTGAGTAATTTTTAATGTGCCTAAAGTAATCTCCCTGATCTGGGAGGGCTCTCCCTGCACGTGCTTTGTCCCACAAAGCTGTTCACAAGGATCCTGTTGTAGAAGTCTGGGTGGCCCTTCCGCATCCTGAGGGGAGCAATGAAAATGTTGTTTTCAGAATGTATTTGGGTTTAATTTTATTAATTTACTCACTGCTCTGAACCTCAGCACTGTGGATAAAAGAATAAGCATATAGCACAAGAACTGGAGTATTCCCTTTTCTTTCCACAGGGATGAACACTTTGCTTCATGCCCCCATCCAGGCTTTGGTGCAGCAAACTGAGGTATGTGAAAGCTTTCAGGTTTTTTTTTTGGTGCTGAAAATACCAGCGTCCAAAATATATCACAAGAATTTGTGTAGTAAAAGGTGAAAAATTTTAACTGTCTGAAAAATGAACCTTTGTGTATTCGCAGAAAATTCTTTTGCAAGTGGATATTCTGTATTTTGAATTATTTTCCCAATCTGATAGCCATTAGACTGCAACGTGAATAACTCTTGCTTCTGTAACTTCTCAGTACTGAGCTAGTTCCTCTGTTCTCTTCAATTCTTTTCTAAGAATATACAAAGGAGCTCATGTTTCAGATGGGTCTGGTTGTGTATTTATAAAACAGCAAATGTAATTTGAAGTAAATGTGAAGCTGTTCTTCGTATATCCATTACACCTCCATTCATTATACATCCATAAGGCTCAGTAATTGTTCCTTGCTTACTAAGGTGTGGCTGGATATGAAATGTAAAAAGAGACACATTCTCTCGTGAGAAGCCATTTAAATAGGATGAGTAATTAAGTCATTGTCCTTTCTTTGAATATGTTATTTCTTACTGGGGAGGCCTGTAACCAATAGGTTTGTTTTCTTTTTTTTTAAAAAAGAGAGATACAAAGCTAGAACCTGAAGGCTGCATCAGCTGGCTTTTGTTTTCAATAGAATAAACCACCGATCATTTGTTTTACGTGCAAGTCACTGAGTTCGTCCTTTTCCTTCCTTATATTTTTTAGTGGCATGATGTGGACCAGGCTGTCCTAAGGGCGAGCAGGCAGGACACCACCCTACTGTTCTCGGAGGAGAACGCCATGGAGATGACAGCCAGTCACACGGCCCTGATATCCCGCAACCTCAGGACCCAGCAGGCCGACAGAACTGAGAAAATAGACATCACCTCCTTCCTGGCCGGGCTGAACTCCGGCCACGGCAGGGCAGAAACCAGCCAGGGATTCGGTTCGCTCCCCGAGCCCGCCAACCACCCGTGCCCGTTCCCGGGGCAGAAGGAAGAGGCTCCTGCTGTAAAAAAAATAGATTTCAATGAATTTCTGCTGAGCCTGAAGTCCAGTGAGAAGGCACCGAGTCCTGCTGAGGGACCTGACAAGGAGAATGTTTTCTTTGTCCCTTGCCAAGGCCCAGACAACGTGGCACTGTCGTCCGAGGGATTTTTCTATTCCCAGGAGCCGCTGCACACCTGCAACGTAACAGAAGTCTTTCAAGGACAAGAAGGTGGGATGGAAGTGACAAAATGTGAGGCAGCTGGTGTTAAGGTTCCATTCCCTGGTGTTGGTGAGGCTCCTCCGGAGCAGCTGGAGTGTGTGGATGTCACCCAGGCCTTCGTGGACGATGGGATGGACATGACAACCAGCCACACTGCAAAAGTGTCCTTTCCCTGCTCCGGTGTTGGGAACCAAAGTCTCCACTTCCAAAGGGATTCCCCATCCACAGAGTTAGATAATTTTTTGTTGAAGGGAGCGTCTAATCAGAAGCTGACTCAGCAGGACCCTCAGCTCTGTGCAGACAGGAAAGCAGCAAATGCTGAAGACAGAGGAGCCCCTGCAATGCTGAGAGGGGGGAGGCAGGAGGTCAGGTCAGTGTCTGCCGTCTGGGGATCCGTGTCCTCTGAGACCGTCTTCCGAGGGGACAAAACTGTTGTGTTTTCTAAATGTGAGGACATGGAAATGACTGGGAATTACACAGACATCATCTACAACGACAGCACCATGGGAATGGACAGTTTGTGTCATAAAACTTGTGAAAAGCCAGTGACCACGAACCCTGTGCTAGCAGCAAGCTGGCACCCAGCACATGGGGACGGGGACATCCCACAGGGTGTGACACCTGGAGATTGTGGAGCTGCTGTGTCCTGTAAAACCAGTGCACTCGAACTGCCTTCAGCCTCAGGTGGACATATGGAAAACGTGGCCCAAGCTCATGGTCCTGCTGCAGCGAATGCTGGGTTTGGCTCACGTACAGATCTGGGTGCTCCAAGGAGCAGGTTCCATCCCTCAGCACAGCCTCAGCTGGTTCCTTCAGGTGAGAAGACAGTAATATTCCCAGGAGAAGACATGGACTTGACTAAAGCCTGCGTTAAGGAAGATGGAAAGAGTGTTGATAATGAATCTCCCACTGCAGTGTCCACCTCTGTCACCTGCAAACCTCATTTTCTGGATAACAGATCCACAGCTTCCAGTGGAGCTGAGCAGGAAGAAATGGAAACAACGAAGTGCCACACTGTTGTCATTGGTGATCAAAGCAGTGGGACAACTGCAGAAACCAAACAAATGCTCTGTGAAATCGTTCCAAGAGAGAACCTGAACAAAAATGTCATTGAGGGTGCAAATTCCGTAGATGTGGACAAGGAAAATATTGAGGTGATGAGTATTGATGGGAACACTGAAAGGAGCCAGGCTATAGAAATGAATACTGAAAATCTTCAGATGATCAGAACAAACAACTTCCAGGCAAGTGATCTGAGTTCCTGTGCCAAGAGCAGGTTTTTGTTCCAACAGCAAAACAGAGGAGTCCCTGGGAACGCTGTCGCTGGCACAAGTGACAGAACAGTCGCGTTTTCAGGTGATCAAAGCATGGACATAACCAAAGCTTATCCTGCTGCCTTTGATGTTGCTCCTGTGAACACAGGACAAGAATCCAATAATAATAATAATCACCAAAATAATGCAGTGTCCGAGCAGTTGCAAAACCAGCCCTTCCCATTTTCCGGTCGTCTCGGTGTGGATGTCACGAGTCAAACTGCAGCAATGGAAAGTGGAGACTTGAACACAAAGCAAATTGTTACTCCTTTGGCTCCAAGTGGTTCGTTTATTTTCAGTAACAAGCCTGCTCCCTCTGGAATGAGAGGAAACGAGCAACCTGGAACGGCCTTAGGAATAAATGCGGATTGCCAAAACTCGGGCAGGCAAGAGAAAACCCACCCTGAGAGGGCCGTAAACAAAGCAGAGCCAACCCAAGTAGATCCTGAGAGACATTTTCCGACGGGTGAAACACTTGCTTCGGGAGAGGATTTAAAACCTCCTCCTTCAGCTGATGGGCTGCGAGCTGGGACATCTCGGCCCTGGAGGGGAAGTTCCCAGCTGCCTCTGTTTGGAGGAAAGTCAGTTGTGTTTCCCTCAGGTGAAAGCATGGACTTGACCGGAAGCTGTGTGATGATGGTTCCTGATTACACCATCAACGTTGTTCTGTCACAACCAGAAGCAGCACCTGAAGACCCAGATAGAGGTGGAAATAAAATCAAGCCCTTAAAAATGGTGCCCACGATGACAGCGAATAATCGGGAGCAGCCTGTGGGACAGGAGGACTCCTCAGTATCTGGCAGGAAAACGTTGCCCATGAGCAGTTTAAAACATTTTGCTGATGAGAAAACCACCCTGTTTTCCGAAGGTGCCGACATGGACATCACCAGGAGTCACACGGTGTCAGCAGACAACAGAGTCATTTTCCAGGGGAAGACTTCAGACGACGCCACAGCTCTGATTTCTGGAGATCAAACTTGTGTTTTCCCCTCTGACATGGAAATAACTAAACTTGATCCCTCTGCAGTCAGTAAATCCGTGGGGAAAGCTGCATCTCAGGGGGTGCTCAGCACAGCTAAAAGGACTGGAAGGAAAAGCTTGAAGGGAACACCAGGGGAAAAGACTGTTTTGTTCTCCCTGAGCAATGAGGACAATGACATGGAGATGACCCAGAGCCACACGGCTGCCATAGGCCACGAGATTGTGCAGGATGAGGGAGGGCTCCATTCCCTCTCTTCAGCTCATCCTGTGAGGAGTGTTATGTTTACAGGGAGCCAGGCTGATGTGGGCATTTCCAAGTCTTTCTCTGCTGATAAAACCACAGGAAAAGTTGCATGTGGTGTTCAGCCAAACTCTGGTGAGGAGGCTGGACTTCTCCACAGCCGAGTTACCGTCTTTGCTGAGGAGGACATGGAAATGACCAAACCCTGCCACATGGCTTTGGCAGAGAAACCCCTGCAGGGCTGGCAGCCTGTTCCCTCCACCTCCACAATCCTGTTCTCCAGTTGTCAGGATGCCATGGAAGTGACCGGTTCTCACTCCGTTCATCCAGGTGTTGGAGGAGACCTCTGTGAGGACAGATGGATCCCGACGGAGCAGGGTGGGCAGGAAGCTGCTGCGGGGGGCAAAACAGTCATTTTTGCTTCGGCTGAGGATATGGAGATCACCAAAACTCACACAGCACAGGACCCACAACCCCTTCCAGCCATTCCTGCTGATAAAACTGTTGTGTTTGCCCTCCACCAGGATGACATGGAGATCACTGCATCCCATACTGTTGCTGTTAACAACGATATTGATGGATTTGAGGGCCACACGAGCACTCAGCACTCACCGCAGCACACACACACTGTGCTGGGGCCTTCCAGGGGTGACATGGATCCCTCACATACCAGAGGCCTGAATGGTGAATATCCCACAAAGCCTAAGGATCAGCCCAGCATTGCCTCTTCTGCTTCATCAACCTCAGCGTTTCCTGATGAGAAAGGAGCCACCAAGGCCCCAAGTGGCACAACACCAGATTCCGTTCATTCTGTCTCACTTCCAGAGAAGACTATGGATGTCCAGGCACCACGGGATTGTGACCTTCCCACAGGGAATTCTGTCCCTCTAAGCAGGGAGCAGGATCTCACACAGCCAGAAAACCTGCAGTCAAAGGGAGCAGCATCTTTGGACCTCCTGGATAATGGTCCTGTGGATTGCAGAGAGGGAAGTGGCGATTTGGAATCCCCTCTTGCCTTTCCCACCCAGGGATCAGACCCTTTGAAGGGTTCCCCAGATTCTCCTGGTACTTGGAGAGGCCAGGTAGTGAAAGAGGATTTGTCTCAGCCTGGAAATTCAGCTCCAGATTTGGGCTTGGCTGGAGCAAGCCTCGTTCCAGCTGCTGACAAGGAATCCAAGGAAAATAAGGAGCCGTCAGCCGAAGGGGAGACGCCTCCACAAGACTTCCAAAAAAACTCTGAACAAACCGAGCAACCTTTGGTCAGTGACAGTCTTTCACCAGAATTAATGGGTATTTTAAATGTTTGTTCAAAGCTGAAGGATCTGAGGAGGAAATCTGCAGCTTTCTCCGTTTCCCAAACTGCTTTTCCTGACCAGGCTCAGCCAGAGGATACCTTGAGGTTGGGAAACCCCACTGTCAGTGAAGCAAATAACTCCCCTGAGCCATGCAAAGAGCAAGAGAACACAGGTCTGGAATCTGGAGCTGCTCCCCTAGGCATGGCACCTCAGGATAAATATCCAGGAATAAATATCCCTCTGGGTATTTTCCAGCCTAAATTGCCAAACAGGAGAAATTCTTCTGTTTCCACTGTACAAGACATAAATACTAAATCTGACAGAGCTGAGCCCCCAGTTCCAGTAAATACTGGGGAAACCCCAGGAAACAAATCCACCAGGCAGAACTTCAGCCCCTCTGAGTTCATAGCAGAAGAATTTCTCCCTGTGTGCCTGGAAGAAATGGATTCCAATGAATCTGTCAGTTCTGAACTCGTGGAAAAGGTTTCTGAGGGGATAAGCAAAAAACAAATCTGCCACCAGGAAGAGGATCTGTTTGAAGAGACAGAAACTCACAACGCCAAAAGATCTTTGGAGCAAGATAAGGAGGATCTTCAAAGCCCAAAGAAGGTCAAGAGGGATGAAAATGTGGATGTTGAAGCACAAGACTTGCAGGTGAGCCTTACCCCTCACTGTAAGGATGCACCAACAGGGCTTTGGGTTAAATTTTTGGGGTGTAAGTGGATCTGTTGGTAGTTTTCCTTCTTTTTCTTAACTGCCAGTTTGTTGTTATTTTCCTGTGTCATTGCCTGTGTTTTTCATTGCTTTGCCAAAATAGAATAATCAGGTTGATTATTCAACATTTGCCTGGACCAGGCAAAATGGGCAGAAGAAGGGATTTGCCAGTTTTAAACCATTCTCTCCATAGTAACCTTTTAATTCTTTCTCAACTAAATGCTCTTAGTCCTCTGAACTAAACTATTTGCTAGTTTTGTCTTAGGTACAGCGAGGCCTAAAGTAAATAAATATTTATAATCCCAGCATGGCTGTTTAGTTCAAATTAATTTTGTTACAGACAGCACAAATTGCAGTTGAATCAAGAAAATCTGTGCAAAGACAGAACATCCCTCTGACCTTAAAAATAACTTTGCGACCATCAGTATAAAATCTAAAGATGTAAAATGTAAAGATCTAAAATGCGTGCAGCAATCTGAATTGTGAAACCTTTCTGAATGTCAAGAAACAACTACAATAAACCACTTAGATTGTTTCATATAACTACATTAACTTTTTTTCTTTTTTTTTTTAATTTGTTAATGTTAGGTTACTTTTGCTGCTGTGCCTCAGAACCAAGTGGGAGTTGATGAAGGTGGAGAACCTCCAGATCTCTCAGCTAAAAGCCCTGACTGTCCTCAAAGCAGTGCCAGCAGCTCCCTGGACTCTGTTAGGGCTGACACAGAATTAACAAGTAAGGCTCTCTTTAGGATAAGAGTCCCAAAGCTTGTGTTCTCTACTCTCTTAAAACACTATTAACCCCACCAATATTCCCTCTCTTTCCTTTCTGTTCTCTTTTCCCAGTCCAGCCCAGCAGTCACATGGAGTCCCAGCTTCTCACAGACAGCATTTGTGAAGACAACTTATGGGAGGTATGTACAGAGGCTGGAAGACACCAACTTCTTGTCCTAACAGGAAAGCACTGGTGTGTGTTATACACCAGTAACTGTTCTTGCTTGAAAAATGGACTTACCTGTATGTTTTTCCCCCAATTTGCAGAAATTTCAGAGCGGTGCCGTCACAGTTGGGGAGTTTTTTACCCTTCTCCAAGTCCACGTTCTGGTTCAGAAGCCCCGGCAGAGCCACCTGCCAGCCAACGTGAGTGTCTCTCCTGTGACAGGAACAATATATAACTGACCTTAAATTACATCCTTTTGTGGGTTTGGGTTTTAATCTTTAGCATCTCAAAGGACTCAAAGTGAAAAACAGAATAAAAGATTTGTGTCTCCTCACCAAATACCGTCTGCTCAGGATTGCTGTTCTTGGATAAATATGCTAATTCTTGCCTTTTTAACTTCTTTTGAGGAGGATAAATTTGAAAGCAAGAATTAGGAATCAGTCTAATCTTTCCACTTTATCTTTTCACTGTGTCAATCTACTGATTGCAGCTACTCTGCACTCCTACTACCAGTTGTATTCCCTCCTTTAGAAATGCTGCACCATGACATTGCTACTCTTTATTTCCTCCCCTGAAGAAAAGGGAAAGAAATTAAGAACAGAAGTTTGACTTCTAAATCCCTTCCAGTTTTATTCAAACTCCTGTCCCAGCTTAGCTACAGCTGACTTTACAAATTTATTTATACTGAGCTGTCTCTAAATATTCATCTAAATGTTCATACTGTGCATAAGTGACTGGTGCAAACCAGACACCCACCCTTCCAAAAGCCCCTGAAAACTTTCTCTGAAGGGGTGGAATTAATTAATTAATGTCAGTTATTTATGAGCTTTACCATGTAGCCATCTTAGGCTGAAACACCCCCCCCCATCATACTTGTTTGAGGAATAAAGCTCAATAAAGCTTGGGAACTTTTACTCTGAATTAAGCAGGGTCAGCTTGTTTTATTGGGGAGCACTCTTGTTACCTGCATAACACATCGATGTTCTTAAAGCCTTCATCTGAAAGGGACTGAGCCTCTTTCAATATTTCATTTAATCTTTTGAGCTCTAGTGATGAGACACAATATCCCAAAAGGCAGAGTGAGGAAACGCAAGGCATGAAAGTGGAATCGAGTTGATTGGAAGTTACTATTTCTGAGAAATATGTTGATTTTATTTTTTCCCCCTTTTCTTCCCTGTGTTCCCCAGGGTGCAGTGAGTGCACCTCCTACCCCAGAGGATCTCATCTACAGCCAGTATGTTCACCGGCCCAAGCTGCGGATTTATGAGGAGGATTGCCAGGCCCTGTCTCAGAAAATAGAGGAGTGAGTGCTTTTCCAGCCACACAGTGTATCAGTCATTTCATGTCTTCACCTCTGGTTGCATGGAGAAAACTTCATACATTACATATAGGGACAACAAAACCACAGTTAACCTCCTTTATGCCGGTAGCAGTTTTATTACAGATTTAGAAATCCATTGTGTAAACACCAATCTGGCTGCTCTGTGTGACCAGTGCAACTGCAACAAGGGCTTACAACTTTTTTTTGTTTCCATGTGTTTTTTTTTTCCAGGTTAAAAACATATGCAAATGTCCAGGATCAGCCCCTGGTGAATGTGAACAGGAGTTTGTGGGAGGTAATGAGAACCTGCTCTGATGAAGAGGTAAGGCTGCTTGGAGAGGGAATGCTTACACATAATGGGCAAGTGGTTAATTTATGTATTCCAATAAAATAAGAACCAGAATGGCCACAAAATAGCAGCAGGTGAAACAAGGCAAAATATTTTCTGAATAAGAAACTTTGAAGCATTTCCGGCATGTCAGAAGAATGCAAGGATATGTGTGCTTTAAAATATATTAAAGGGGAAACATTTACCAAAAATTATTTGCATGTAAAACCCAGAAGCATAAAAAAGTGTCCCACTAGAACAGAGAAGGTAGATCAGGAGATTCTGTTTTCTGTGGTTCTAATGCCAAGGATAAAAAAGAATAAAGACCTAGTCCATGAAAATGAAGAGTAAAAATTGATCAAAGGCAGTATTCTTCATAATCCATATTTAGATATAGGATATCTCTACAGTTTGGTTGTGAACTAGAGTCAGGAAGGGTTGTATTCCCACTCACTTTCTCTTCTGTATTTCCCGTTGATTGCAGCTGAAGAACTTTGGAGCTGAACTGAACAAAATGAAATCCTATTTCACCAAGGAGAGTAAAATCTTGGCTCACAATGAGAAGGAGACCTTGTACAGCAAACTGGTGCAGAGTGCCCAGGTAAGGAGCCACAGGTCTGCAGAGATTTGGCTTTAGAAAAGGAACTTCTACCATATTTCTTGTCATTAATTGTGTGGGAGCTTAATTATTTTGGTGTGCATTCTCCTGGAAGTTTTGTCCTTTTAAACACATCTCTCTGCTATTCATATGCAAATTGGATGGTCTTTAGGGTCCTTTCCAATCCAACCCACACAGGGATTCTCTGGTAAGTAATAAGAAAATGACATTGTGACAGGATCAGAAATCTGTATATATTAAAGCTCTAGGAATTCATTTATTTCCATGTCTTATCCCTCATTAGGGAGATACAGTAAGTATTTAGTATTTCCTTACACTGGCCACTGCCCCACTGCTTGTCCTTTGCCTCCTGCCTCTAATGACAGATTGTATCAGGTTCTTTAATTAATGAGCAAGCAAAGAGCCATGTGGTGGGCCCAGCAGAAAATTCAGCTTGTTAAAAAATATCTCTGACTCAAGTACAACTTTCCCACCTCAGGAACAACACGGGAAGCTCCAGGCAAGAATAGAAAAGGTGGATGAGCTGCTGAAGGAGGCAGAGAGCTGCCTGGTTGCTCTGGAATCAGGTAGGTGTTTTATAAACAGGTGACTTATATTCTGATTTATCCTTTTTTTTTTTTTTTTTTTCTCCAGAGCTGCTGTTCAAAAGGTCGGTTCAGGATTCTGTGTTTGTGGTTGTTTGACACAAGCTGCTGGCAGGGCTTGGCATTGCTGCATGACAGTATTTTCAATTCTTTTCTTCCAGTGCCTTAAGCGAAATCAAATGGCACAGTAGCAGCTTTGAAACAATGCAATAAAATGAGCTTTCCCTGTTATTACCACTTTTTGAGGGGTTTTGTTGATACTTTTCCATATTTCTATACATTTTTCTGAGTTACATTTGAAATACTGAGAGTTCTAGAGCCCACAGAACAAAATAGACTCTTAAGTATTGAATCTGGGAGTCCTGCACAGACCTAATATTTCTTTCCCATAGATTCTTTCTGGCATCAAGAGGATGAAGTGGAAGGAGGGCAAAGCCTACAGAAAGGTAACAGAACCAGCTGAATGCACTTTTTGTTTGGTATTTTAAATTCTGGAGAGGGTGATACTGAGCCCTCATCCTGATGGATCAGCTCTGAAAGAGATGCAAACACTGCTGTATTTTCTGCACTGCATATAGCTAATCACAGAGATGTTAATGGATGCAAGTGACTGTTTTCCCCTGGAAACATGGAATTTAGAACTTGCTACAGTGTGACTTGAAGAGTCATAATCAGCTGTCATATTCAGCACTTTGTTCAATGATTACAACCTCTGACCCCATATCCAGGCAGGGGTAACGGCCGCCAAGTTGAGATCTTTCCTATTGTTAAGAACAGTGAGTGCACAGCAGATTAGGGCTTTTTGCGCTGCTCCTTCCTCATATTTCCCCTTTTCTCATTTTTTTTCCCTTTCTCTTAGAACTGGAAAGCCTTAGAGCCCAAGAAGAGGAACTTCAGAGGTAAGATGTCAGAGGGGATGTTGACGATGTCGGAGTGTCATGTGCACACCAAGTTTTTAGAGGGTTGGTGAGTTTTTAACTACTGTGCCACATCCCGTGGGGTTGGTTTATCCTTGCAGAGAACTGTCAGCGATGGAGACTGAGGATGAGCAGATGCTGGTTCAGATGGATGAGCTCAAGAAGGCTGAAAAAAGCTGTCAGGAAATCCTGGAGAAATACGAGTAAGGAAAACACCCTTAGGTTTTATTTTTTGTTAGCTATTTCTGGGGCCTCCCGTTTGTACATAAATGTGCTGGGTTTGATTTTCCTTGTTATTCGATGTGGGAAGTCTTGGGATGCCCACCCATCTCCCTGCAGCCTGAGATAAGCAATAAAGCCTTGGAGAACTTCCATGTGTAATTCCATTAACAGCTTTGCAGTGGTGCTCTATGTTCCAACATCCAAATCTCCCCCAGTTCCAAAATTAGCATTTATATAAAATGTATGGTCTTATACTTGCATTCCCAACAAATTATCACATTCTGTTGGAATGGAAGAATCTGCTTGGAATTGGAGAATTCATTGGTATATTATGTGGTAAATGTTGCAAGTGCATTTAATACTCCAATCTTTGTCCCTCAGGAAATTGTTTAGGTTGGTTGCTTGAAACTTGGGGTGATGGTGGGGTTTTTTTATCCCCTTTTTCAGCTTCACTGAGTGGGAGATTATGGAATGGAGTGAGCAGCAGGCAGTCTTTCATTTTCTTTATGATTCTGTGGAGCTCACAGTCGCGTTTGGACCCCCAATAGGTGAGTCGCAACATGGGTAGGTCTATGTTTTATGAATTTGAAATGTTATAGAATAGAAACCTGAAATTTCCGTATTTGTAAAGATCTGCTGGAAAGAAATACAAAATATACTCCAGTGAGTAAGCTGAGATAGGTGGCATTGTTTTGGATATGTTTTTTGTATGAAAGTTCAGAAGTGTAATGGATGGCTGTTTCTGCAGAGGAAGAGCTGTAATTCCAGAACCAAGTACGGAAATAACTGGGTTTTTTTTCCTTTCCTTCTCAGACGGTGATGATTTTGGTGTAGATCCTTCCAGAACCATCGTTAGCCTGAACTTCGAATGTTTCCTGGATGGTGAGATATTTTTGGGTAGCTTGAAAGTAGCAGCCCTGCTAATCTGTCTTTGAGAAGACTCTAAATTTGTGCTTTGTCTGCTAATGCTCTATGAAATGGCTTTTCAGAGGTTCCTGGCAATGTGGTTTTTTTTCTTTTGTGTTACAGTGGAACAAGCTCCACCCTCCTCCTGTTTAGTCCAAAGGCTCATCTTTCAGTTTATTGAAAGTCAGGGAAGCTGGCAGAAAAAGTGTCCCACGCTGTACTACTTGCCCCAGGTAACGTTCCAAGGAATCTTATGAGACTCTGAAAAAAAAAACCAAACACCTTAAATCTTTTCTGTCACAGAGAAAATAGGGCTGATCCTGAGCAACTTAATGAAAGCTTTGGCAATGCAAGCCAAAATCTGCTTCAGGAATATTCTGAGGTGTGAGGGTAAATACCTGCCCCTGAAGGCAGGAGTCCTAAAAGCTGGAGTTTATTAAAAGCCCTTTACTGCTATAGAAGTAAAGAATTAAGCTGAAGGCCATTCTGCCTCCTAAAGAATGTAGGTTTAAATTGCCAAGCCAAACTTCCTCTGGGTCACTGCCTGGCTGTGACAGGCCCATTGACAAAGCAGAAAGGAGAAACTTGGAGCAAAAAAATGCACATTAGTTATATTTGTACAATTCCTTTTTTTCCATCCAGACTGAGGTAGCGGTTAAACTACCCTTATTTTTTTATACTTTCTAGGATAAACTGTGTTTTCAAGTGTCAGGTAGTCACCACTTGGGTGTTGATGTGGTTCCTTTTCTGATTGCCCCCTCAGGTTCTCCATGACATCTCCTTGGTGGTGAATCGTTGCAAAATCTTGGGAGAGGAGATGGAATTTCTGGAGAGATGGGGTGGAAAATTCAATCTTCTCAAGACAGATATCAAAGACACAGAGTGAGTAACTTCAGGTTACCGTGATGGGATTCTTGGGGCTGTGCAGGGACAAAAGTTGGATTTTGATCCTGGTGGGCCCCTTCCAACTCAGGATATTCTGTGATTCCATAAGACGAGGTTCACAGCAGTCCTTCAGAGACTGGATAATCAGGAACAATCCTGTGGAATTGGAGGCAAGTCAGTCCAACTTAAAACTTTGGAAAACTTTAGCTACCTGGAAATGTTTTTATTCTAACTAGAAAACATATTTTTTGTTACTAATCTCTATTATTCTTTGTTATTAGTCTCTGTTCTCCCCTAATTTTTGGATGGTTCTGTATTAACTTTTGCTGTGAGGGAAGTTGGGGCTTTGGATTCTGAGGTGTTGATGAAATGCAAAGGGTCTCTTCATCTTATTTCTGCAGTTCCTGTGGGTCTGTTCTGGAACTCTTTGGAAGTTCCTGAGCTTTGTTACATCAGTGACATCATTTTATTCCCAATCCTTGCCCCAATTCCAAGGTGGAAGCAGCACATTTGACTATTTTTCATGGATCTTTGTGTTTGTTCCACAGGGTGAAGCTTTTGTTCTCCGCTTCTGCAGCTTTTGCCAAGTTTGAGCTGACTCTCTCTCTCTCTCCTGACTATCCATCTGCTCCACTTCCCTTCAGTGTACAAACCCACATCGGGAATATCGGGTGAGTTGGAAAACCACCTCCTCCACATGACTTCATTCCACACTGGGGATGGGGAATTAAGCTCTCCAGATCCTCTCCAACACGTGTTGTCCTTTCATCTTCCCCAGGAAGGAGGAAATTTCTGCTGTTCTTTCCAGTGTTCCAGTTGGTCACCACTATCTGCGGAGAATAATCACCCTGATCCATCAGAACCTGCTTCAGGATGCCAGATGACCTACTGGATGCATGGGCAGGACTGAAGTGGTTGGAATGGGTAGTCTTTGAGTTTATTCTTGTGAGAATTCCAGCTGTCTCTCACCGGAATGGGAATGCTGTTACCCCCCCATCTCTAGTATTTCCGCCTATTTAAGTATTCTTGTAGTTTACACCAAGTATTCTACTTGGAGTAGATCACGAGTTTTACAAAAGCAGAGGTGTCTAAAGAGGAGAAGGAAGAAATTCCTATGGCCTTTTATGAATTCAAGCTGCCTTTTATCTACTCTCAGTCACTCCAGGGGATCGTGGCCTCCTTGGAATGTCATTCCTAATGTGCATATTCTTATGCCATAGCCAGCCTCTTGCTTTAGTTCTGGGGTGATTCTCAAAGCCCTTGGACAAAGCAATGATGAGGATTCTCTAAATTAACTAGGCTGGAGTTTCCTTTCACTGTCATGATTTCGTTATCCATGTACAATTCAACAGATCCCACCAGGTCTGCTCTTTATCCGTCCCCTGGAGCCTCTCCCAGTCCAGACACTATATCCCTGCATCTGATTCATTAACCAATTAAACTGTAGCAATTAACCATGTGGCCAAAGTCAGAAATATTTTTGGAATTAAGACTAAAAATCCCTGTGCTTGGCCACTGACTTTGGGATGGAACGGCCCCAAAGCCGGTGGTGTGACTGAAGTTTGTTCTGAGGTTCAGTGTAAGTCCAGCACAATCTGGGGGTGCGGGTGCATTGTCCCAGTTTGGAATGCCTTGGAACTTTTAGTGAGGAGACAGAGCTCCTTAAGTTTAGTAATATCTGTAAGATCTAGCTTGATTTTGTATATATTGTATATATTATGTGGTTTTTGCTGTTGGATCTGGTCTCTCCCTGGCTGAGTTACAGAGCAGAAGCACCAACCCTGGCCCAGCTCTCAGTTCTCCAGCTGCAAATCTTCATGCCCTGTAAAATATGATGAATTTAAGAATGTTTCCCTGTGTTTCAGTTTTTATATATTTTGTCTTTTTACAAGTTTTCCTTCTGTTTGGAAGGCGGAAATTCATTAAACGTTGGGTTTATCGCCCTTCCTGCTTCCAGTGGGGATTACTGGCTGCCGTATTTAAACCGGTGACTTGCAAATTTGATGCCAATATTGAAGTAATTTTGTTAAAATACTTCGGGAAGACTTTTCGTAACATGAAAGAAAAGTGGAGAAAAAAGGGAAAAGAAAAAAGGAAGGGGGGGAGATAAAATAAAATGGGGGAAAAAAAAAAAAAGAGAGAGAATAAAAGGAAAGTAAATTCGAAAGAAAAGCTGGTCTCCATGAGCCCATTCCATTCCCTTCCCATTCCCGTTCGCGGAGCCGTTTCCCGCGCGCGCTCCCGAGGGGGGCGGGGCCTCTGCGCGCGCAGGCGGGCGCGTCACGTGACGTGGCGGCGGGAGCGTCCGAACGGCCGGGACGGCACCGGGAGCGGAGGCGGGACCGGGACCGGCACTGAGGTGAGACCGTGGGGCTCCCCTGAGGCCTCCCCGATGCCGGGAACGGCCGGGCCAGCGCCGGCCCCGGGGCAGCCTGAGGGGAGCGGGAGCTTGAGGGGCCCGTGAGGGGAACGAACAAAGGGCCGGGACCGGCTCGGCGGGGGAGGGGAGACACGGCGGGGGCACCGGGGAGAAACGGACCGCGGGCTGGCACCGGGCAGGGACTGCCGGCTCCGGGGGCGGCGGGAATCGTGGAGTCCCGGAAGGGTTGGTGGGAAGGGAACTTAAAGGCCATCCGGTTCCACCCCTGGCCATGGGCAGGGACACCTTCCACCAGCCCAGGTGTTGCTCCAGGCCCCGTCCAACCTGGCCTTGGACACTTCCAGGGGTCCAGGGACAGCTACAGCTTCTCTGGGCAACCTGTGCCAGGGCCTCCCCACCCTCACAGCCAGGAATTCCATTATCCAGTGTAAATTTCCCCTCTGCCAGTTTGAATTCATCCCTGCCCCGGCCTGTCACTACAATATCCAAACTGTGTGCTGTATCCAAAATGTTTGAGTTCCCTGATTTCCTTCAGTTTCCCATGGCAGCTCGTGCCTCCTACCCTGCTCAGCATTCCCGAGGGTGGGACACATCCTCTGCAGGGCCTGGAGCCCCTTCCAGCCCTTGCCAAGGTGTTGGTGGCTGTCCCGAGGGTGGTCCTGGGGCACAGCCCAGTCACAACAGCAGATGCCAGTTCAGAGGGCTCTTCCAGCCTGAATAATTCCACGATTCGGACTCGTGTCACCTCATGAGCTCTTGCTAAAATGAGATCCTGGGATGTTTGGTCCCTTCCAGGGGGTCCTGGCCCCTCGCTGCCATGGCCATGCAGATGCAGCTGGAGGCCAACGCGGACACATCGGCAGAGGAGGAGAGCTTTGGGCCACAGCTCATATCCAGGCTGGAGGTAGGAGAGCACTTGCCTCTGGAGTGTTTTCCTGAGATCTGCTGATCTTTTTCACAGAATCCCAGACTGGTTTGGGTTGGGAGGGATTTTAAAGCCCCTCCAGTCCCACCCCCCTGCCATGGGCGGGGACACTTCCCACTATCCCAGGTTGCTCCAAGCCCCGTCCGACCTGGCCTCGGACACTTCCAGGGATCCAGGGGCAGGCACAGTTTCTCTGGGCAACCTGTGCCAGGGCTTCCCCACCCTCACAGCCAAAAATTCCTTCCCAATATCCCACATAAACCTTTTTCTTTAAAAGCAAGGTGTACCTGAAAACTCTTGCTAAATTCTTACTTGTGTTCTGTCAAAAAAAACCCCACCAAACAATCCAGAATAATCAAAATGTGTCTCTTTTTGCCCCCTCCCTCCCAGCAATGTGGTATAAATGCCAACGATGTGAAGAAGCTGGAAGAGGCTGGATTTCACACCGTGGAGGCCGTGGCTTATGCACCAAAGAAGGAACTGCTGAACATCAAAGGCATCAGCGAAGCCAAAGCTGACAAAATCCTGGTAAGGATGTTATGGAACATTGACCCAAGATATTCCACAAGTTTCTTTCTGCTGGCTTGAAGAGTTCTAGTGGATTTGGAAAGTCTCCAAAGGGCAGTAAAGGTGGTTAGAGGTGTGACATGGCTTCTGACGAGAAGGGACAAAACCCACCAGGACAGAACTGAACTGGAAGGGTGGGTGGCAAGGGGAAACTATTTCCATAAAACACACAAAATAGATGTTGGAGCCTTTTCCTGGAGCCCAATTTCAGTTCTGTTCAGAGGTACCAACTAGTGCCCAGTCTGTAAAATAAAATGTGCGGGGAATGATACAGGTGCTTCTCCACAAAGGAGGAATTATTAATTACTGGGAGTTAAGGAACAGGGTGAGCTCTCTGCTTGGTTTTCCCTCAGGCTGAGGCAGCCAAACTGGTTCCTATGGGTTTCACCACGGCCACAGAATTCCACCAGCGGAGGTCAGAGATCATCCAGATCACCACTGGCTCCAAGGAACTGGACAAACTGCTTCAAGGTAATCACTTGATTGCTCTTTACTGCTTAGCCTCCATTATTGGGATGGGCTTTTTACTATGAACACGATCCTTGCACAGAATCACAGAGAACAAGTTGTGGTTAAGTGAAAAATCTCCTCAAGTGCTGCTCTTGTGTAACTGTTTTCATTTTAAAAGCTGCAGAAATAGTTTTAAAGCCTTTTAGTCACAATGCAAGAGCCAGAGCTGTCCGCTTGGGGACGTTTCTGGTTTATTCTAGTGTGTGATGTATTTCAAGGAAACAAAACCAGGTGTCACCATCTCACCATTTATCTGGTGATCCAAAAATGAACCAAATAATTTCAGCTCTGCAGCTTCTTCAAAAACACACCTAAACCTTTTATCTACAACGTGAACAAATCTCAGGATGACAACGAGATTTGCCAATCAGTTTTGAAACTTTTGGCCAAATTAAGTGTTTTACTGAGTCTCTGTAATTTGCAATGTTTTGTATGTGGGTTTTGTTTGTAATTTTTATTGCTAATTATTAGTGTTTTTCTCTTCCCTTCAGGAGGAATAGAAACAGGGTCCATAACAGAGTTGTTCGGGGAGTTCCGTACTGGGAAGACACAGCTCTGTCACACCCTGGCAGTCACCTGTCAGGTGAGTGGGTCACCTCATTACAATCCAATGTCCAGACCCCACAGCATTTGGGAATTTGCTAATTTGGGCACTTTTCTTGACTTTCTAAGTGCTTATTGATTTCTAGAGGTCGTTCTTTGTTACAACCCGGTACAGAAGCTCCAGGCTTTAGCAGGTGTACTCTTTAATTTCAGACTTCCAGAGATTTTAGTATTCCATAAAATATTAAAAGCTTGGACTTAAATTTGGTCATTTAGTTGACTCCCTAAGCTTACCAGCTCAAAGCTGAGCATCTGCCCTCTTATGTGGAATCCTGGAATGGTTTGGGTAGGAAGGGACCTCAAAACCCATCCACTTCCATGGGCAGAGACACCTTCCACTATCCCAGGTTGATCCAAGCCCTCTCCAGCCTGGCCTTGGACACTTCCAGGGGTGGGGCAGGCACAGCTTCTCTGGGCAACCTGTGCCAGGGCCTCACCACCCTGACAGGGAAGAATTCCTTCCCAATATCCAATCTATCCCTCCCCCTTTTTCCCAGCACTCCAGTGTACAACAAGGAAGGTGTCAAGAGATCAAAACCAGGAATCTTTCCTCTTGCTTTTCCCAGCTGAGCGGGACTTTAGTCACAGTAACTTGGGATGTTACAACGTGTTGTATGACATCAGTGAAGGCATAAGGCTGTATCTGATGTATTTATGGACACTTAATTCCATATTCCTTCATTCAGCTCCCCATTGACCGTGGTGGTGGAGAGGGAAAAGCCATGTACATCGACACGGAGGGGACCTTCCGTCCGGAGCGGCTCCTGGCTGTGGCTGAAAGGTCTGTGAGGGGAAGAAAGGAATATATTTGCTCACAACTTAGCTGGAAGGCATTTTACACAGGTCCTGGAGGTTGACTTGGTAGATGTTCACTCTGAAAACATCTGATGTTGCTATTCCTCTCCCACCTCTGCCGCTCTCTCCACACAGCTCTTGTGTCATTGTCCCTCAGCAGGAAGTGATTTCCCACACTTTTTGCTACTGGAAGGGCACGTGAGCTTCCCAAGCAGCTGGGGACAGTACCAGTTCCTGTCAGCTCTTTTGGAAGGGAATTTGATCTAATCCTGCTGGCTTTTCCTGCAGCAAGGAGTGCTCCCACCAGTGGATATTTGGCTACAAACATCTCTGGATGACACTGATGACACTTGATACTGATGGGAAAGGCAAATGATGTTTGCAGCAGTCACAGGTGTGTCTGTGCTGGCTGTATACATAGAGTACTTGGAATCATGGAATTGTTCAGGTTGGAAAAGCCCTCTATGATGCAGCCACTGCCCAGCACCGCCAAGGCCACCACTAACCCATGTCCTCAAGTGCCACATCCACAGGGCTTTAAATCCCTCCAGGGATGGGGACTCCTCCACTGCCCCGGGCAGCCTGTGCCAGGGCTGGACAGCCTTTCCATTAATAAATGTCCCAATATCCAACCTGAACCTCCCCGGTATCACTTGAAGCTGTTTCCTCTCATCCATTTAAAATGGTTCCAATTATTCCGTTCTCTTTTCATCCCCATGTGCTGCATTTTTTCCATCTGTTTTTCTCTCTCCCAGGAACGTGAGTTTTTATTCCAGCCTTTAGGCAGAGCTCCATAGGATAACTCCTATGGAGGAGGTTGTCACTTAGAGCCTTCTATCTTTATTTCCCCAGGTATGGCCTGTCTGGCAGTGACGTCCTGGACAACGTGGCCTATGCCCGGGGCTTCAACACGGACCACCAGACCCAGCTGCTGTATCAGGCCTCGGCCATGATGGCTGAGTCACGGTAAGAACCCTGATGTTGTGGATCCTATTCCCAAAATGGGTTATCCTTTGGTTTATCCAGGTGACAAGCTCTGTGGGCAATCAGTGATCCTCAGCACCTCTCTGGCTGCTGGAATTTGGGGTGACAGCGACTGGCTCGGCCTGATGTCACTGTACAAACACAGTAAATTGTCCCCCAGTGCCAGCCTGAGAAACAACTTTGAACGCCGCTAGAGGGAAGGTGATGGTGGAACAGGGTGTGTAGGAACCTGTCCACAGGCACCTGTGCTGTCCAAACAGGGTGTCTGTTACACCACAATTAATCTAATTTATTAACCGTGCAGGAGTCCCTTTTGGTTTGCTGGGGTTTCTTGTGTGTGGAGGAGCTGCCGCCCCACCTGGAGCAGCATCCCAGCTCTCCAGGCCCTGGCACGCTCCTGGGGAGGCGTTGGCCATGCCTGGCAGTGCTGCTGACCCCGAGTGCCTTTGCCAGGTACGCGCTGCTGATTGTGGACAGCGCCACGGCCCTGTACCGCACGGATTACTCGGGAAGGGGGGAGCTCTCGGCCAGGCAGATGCACCTGGCCAGGTTCCTGCGGATGCTGCTGCGCCTGGCAGATGAGGTAACACGGCGCTGCTTCATTCCCCAAATAGAACTCTGTGCTTTCCTCACGAATCCCAGCGACTCGGTACAAAGGGCCTTGTCCCTCAGTCTCTGCTTCCCTTGGTTCAGAGGGGCTTGATGCCATGGTTGTGGGCACGGGGGGTGCACCTGGCTCTATTCCCCCCCTATTTCTGTTCAGACTGTGGGAAATAGCTGGGTTCTGGTCGCTTGCCCCTGCAGTTCGGCGTGGCCGTGGTCATCACCAACCAGGTGGTGGCACAGGTGGACGGAGCCGCCATGTTCGCTGCGGATCCCAAAAAACCCATCGGAGGGAATATCATCGCTCATGCTTCCACCACCAGGTGAGAGGAGAGATGGTCACCTCCCAGGAGCCTGATTTGGGGTTTATGGAATTGGCTAAGTAATTCTTATTAATTCTGGGGTTTACTTAGTCTGTCCGTGGCAGGTCCAGCCTGGACTTCGATTTAGTGCCACTCTGAGCCCTCAGGGAAATGAAGGGTTTGGGCATGTTCCTACAGCTCTGCATAGTGCTTTATGGATTAGGAGGATTTTCTGGAAGTAGGCTGTGCACCCTGACTTGTTTCCTTCCCTCTCCCTGTCAGACTGTACCTGCGGAAAGGCCGAGGAGAGACCAGGATCTGTAAAATCTACGACTCTCCATGTCTTCCCGAGGCTGAGGCCATGTTTGCTATCAATGCCGACGGAGTGGGAGATGCTAAAGAGTGAAAAGGGCTTTCTTCCCCCTGAATCCCAAGACTGTGTCCATAAGGGGCTCCTTTCTGTGTGGCACCTTACGGACATTCCCCAAGGCAGCTGGCAGAGGAGCCTGTTGTGTGTCAGGGTGTGTCCATCAGGACACCCGGAGGGGTTGGGAAGACATCTCCCACTGGGCTGTAATCACAGATTGGACTGTACCCTGTGAACATTCCCAGAGGACCACACCCTTTGTGTTTTCCTGGCTTCCACCATGCCTGTGGGGCAGAAAAATCTACGTGGCCACAGTTCTGAACTTGGTGAATTTGAACTGAAGTTGGTGGGTTTGTCCTGTAAGAAAAGTGGTGATTTATAAAACCGAGCTCAGTGGTATTCCACACTAGGGATTTGGGATTGGTGAGGATCCCAGTCCATAATCTTTCTGTTCATTTTCTTTTGGATGCTGCAACCTGCTGGTCTGGGGGAACTGTTCATTCCCATTTCAGTTTAATTTTCAGTATTTCATTAATTCTCTGTGGAAATCTGCTTTTAATAAAAAGGACCATGAGGATATTGATGACATCACGTGTTCCTAGGATTCAGGTTGGTGTTCATGCAGACCAAGGATTTTTTTGGATGGAAGAAGCTGCACCAGTCTCCAAGGAATCTCAGTCTGGGTTTTTCTTTTCTACTAATTCTCCTTGGTTTGGGGGTGCAGTGCAGCTGTGCCCTGTCTAACTCTTTTAAGAGTTTTTGGGGCTAAAAAGGTTCTTTTGTATTCTACAATATTTATATATCTCTTGATTAAAAAGAATAATATAATATTGATTTGGTTTTAATTTGTTCGTTTGAGGTGGTTAATTAAAGCAAATCCTTGATAAGGGAGTGTGCTGAGATCGAGCTCTGGCTGCAGGGGACTGTCAGGCCTTGGTGGCTGTGAATTCATGTTCTTCTCACTGGGAAATTGGAAACAGTTCTTAATGAGATTGCAGAAATGTTTTATGAAACCTTTCCCCTTCTTTCTGCCTTTTGCTGATAGATCTTCTCTTTCTGCCTTTGAATGTACAGCTGTTCCTTGGTGTGGACTCACTGGCCTGAATTCCTTGCAGCTCCCAGCTGGGAAAACCTAGAGAGGACAGAGGTGACATTTTTATCTGAAAACCTGGGGTAATTTATAAGGGATACAGCAACTGTTTTTGTAGGAAAGTGTGTTTAACCACATTGGCCCCAGTTGTGTTTGCACCAGCTGGGGCCAGAGGTGCAAGGCAATCCAAAGCAAACCCTGCTCAGCTTCTGAATCCCAGGGCACGGGAGAGCAGGCACAGAGTCCCTGCTGGGGGCCCATTTGGCTGCCTGAAAACAGCTTGGCAAAGAAGCCTTTAAGACTCCGCTGGTGAGTTTTAGAAGCCAGGCATTCCTTGCTTACAACACCTTGCAATGATCCCAGCCCTCTGGATGTCATGGCAATCAGCCCCCACAGTGCACACAGAGGTGTCTCCACTGCAGCTGATGGGAGGGCTCAGCATTCCATGAGGGTTCATTTTGTTCCCTGCATTCCTGTTTTGTATTCAGGACATTCCCCAACACTTGTTACCATTCACACAAACTCTTATAAGGTCTCTGAGGGTCTCCATCGGGGGTCTCTGGTGGTCACCTGTGCCTGGAGCCCCCAGAGTTCTAAGCGAC